TAGTTTAAAGGGGTAGTCATCTCAGCTAATCCAAAATATTACGGCCATTTTGCCAAATGATGAACATAACTTTCAAATTTAGATTCTAAAGAGCACTTCAAAAAAAATATTTTTCTTATCCTTTTCCTTTTTTCAGATTGATCAAGTATTTACTTTGTAGAGGTTTATTTCCATGACTAATGTTCTTCCAAATGTGTGTATTCAGAATCTTTATTCATTTCTACAAATGAAAATGCAGATATGAGTGCTAAGTTTAGTGGATGTGCAATAGACTTATAGTTTTACCATGAGTTGTTGATGCATCTTTGAAGTGAAAAACTGACTATTAGTATTCCTACTTAGTTTGTCATTGTGCTTTATCCTGTCCGATTTTCTTGTTTTGATTATACTTCTTTAATAATGTTCTGCACATTGGTGAGCTCTTGCACTACACTATGTGTTAATTTGTGAGTATAATTGGGTGAAGATCAACCATTGGGGTTTGATAGAAAAATGATGATTTTTTAAAATTATTTTTGTATAGGGAATTGAATGCGAGTATCGCCACAATGATATTGCTAGGCTCCACCCCATGGGCTGTTGGTATTGGTTAGCAGGGAATTGTCTTAATCTTGCAAGTTTGAGAGGCCAAGTAAAGTACAAGAAGTCACTCCGCCTATGATACTCACTCCTCCACATACTCTGCCCATAATAGACAGTCTGCATAAATTTTATTTTGATGTTGTATCATTATCCAAAATGTGTTGCATTTTTTGAATATATGATTTATTTTGTTTCGTGATTAATATTTTATATTTGAAATAAATTTTAATTATTAAATATGGGTGCTTATGATTTAGAGAGACAACATAAAATAATAACTGCGTTCGGATAAACAATTTGACCACTGTTCAACTTTATAGTTTGAATCGTATGCCGACAACTACACAAACCTGTAGTGTTAATCACTGCGAGACATCTAAAACACAGTTGTTTGAAATGAAACAAAATAGTCTTCTATGTTCTAGATATACCTTTAAAAACAACACTTGTTTGTTGCAAATATTTCTAGTGGTGTTTCAAGCAGTTGTCTGATAACCAATTCGATTACTACTCAAACATATAGTTTGAATATTTCAGGGACCACTAAACAAAATCATAGTGTTAATAATCGTTATACAACAAAAACAAACAGTTGTTTAAAATAAGACCAAAGTAGTAGTCTTAATTAGTACATACAACACAAAATAACACTTTTTTTATGAAAATATTTGTAGTGGTCTTCCGAGTAGCTGTTTGATAATCAATTACACTACTGTTCAAAAATATAGTTTGAATATTTTAAGTACAACTGCAAAAAAGTGTAGTGTTATTGCGCACTATACAATTGAAAGAAACGGTTGTTTAACTTACAATAAAATTAGTAGTCTATGTTTTAGAAATATAACACTTGATAACAGTTGTCTCATACTACTTTTGTTTAGTAGTCTTCCGAGCAGCAGTCTGATATATCTTTCAACTACTTTAGAAATTAGATATCTATATTTTTGATCGACAACACCAAACAATAGGAGTCTAAAGTTGAAAACAACAGTAGTGTATATTATAGATAGACAACAACAAATCACAATTGTCTTTAACTCTAGAAAACAGATGTCTTACTCATACGAGGACAACTTCAAAAAAATGTACTCTCAAAGATCACAAAATAGGTGTCGTCAACCATACTACACAATTGTTTTTAAACAGTAGTCTGTGAATATATCAGACAGCTGCTCGGAAAACTACTGAAACCAACACAGTTAGACAACTAAAAGAAACAGTTGTCAGCATCTGTTTTTGACGTAGTGTTTGCTGCAGACGTTTGTTAACTGGTTGGTGTTAGTTTGACTGTAGCTGTGACTTTCATTGATTCAAGAGCCTTGTTATAATCGAAACATTGGATCAACTCCAGTGGTGTATTCAATTACAGTGCCCGTACTATCTTTTGGAGTTCGTTGGTGAAGAGGGTTACAATTACCACAAGTATGGTTTTCTTATTAATCCAAAAAGAGAAATTGTTTCTTTTTATATCCAAGTTTGTGATTTAGCTAATTTATGAATTTCTAGCTCTTTTTCTTTATTTTCGTACCTACTTGCTACCGTAACAAAACACGAAGGAGAGTACATAACTTGGTAATTAAGGGGACCAAATGGGAGGCAAATCGTAAGCCTCTTTAGGGTCATGACATCCAATAAGAGCTTTTACAGATGTCATATTAGGCTTTTTGGTGTTTCTAGGGGATTAGTGTTTTGGTAATGGTGTGGGTAGTGTGTTGGTTGAGGCCCTTCTAGAGTTCTAGAACAGTGTGTCTATCGATAGCGGTAGAGATAAGGATTATGTTCATCCCCTCTATATATAGAGAAATCCTCTCTTACTTTCACTTGTGGTCATTCCTCAGGTCTAACCCAATTATTGCCTAATACAAATTGATTTAATTTTAGTTCCCAAATGAAGGGTTATCATCTTGACAGGTAAAAGGAGAGTTAGGCAACTGAACATAGAATAAATAAAGGGTTATCATCTTGACAGGTAAAAGGAAGGCAGCACCAAATAAATACATATTCGTCTAGAGATATAGACTGTAACGCCCCGAAACATACCCTAGAATTATTATTAAATAATTATTCGATTAAACAAATTTGTTTTGATTATTATTGGGCTTTGGGCCGATATGAAATATTTTTTAATATCCAATATCAAAATCTGGATAAGTCTAATCGAGATAAATCCAATATGTGGACTATTTGTGTGGTCTTGATTGGGAACCTGAGTACAGACCCAAATCAAGAATAAATTAATTAATTAATTATGATGTGAACTTTGTAATGAGTTATTGAAATAAATCATGAGAATAATTGATATGAATTAAATGAGAGAACCTTTTATGAGAAAGGTCAATTAAACCAATTTTGACTCTGTTAAAGTCAAACACCCAAAAATATGATGTCGGAAAAAGTATTACAAATAATTATGAAAAGTATATCGTTGGATAGAGCTCGACTGTCTGATCGCAACGGTGCAAACGGATTTCAATTTGGAGAAAGTTGGACCAAAAAGTGTACCCCGACTGGAACCAAAATAGGTCCCTATCAGGGAACTGTTTAGACGGCGCCTCCTTCCCCACTACGCCGATCGCAGAGTCACCTTCTTCTTCTTCTCTCCTTCTCATTATATAAGAAAACCCAACCTTCTCATTTCTTCACCATTCTTCTTCATTCTTCTTCCTAAATGTTCATGAAAGTGTGAGGAGTGTTGTGGTGCTGTCAATTTGGTGTGAAGTCGCTGGAGTTGGGAGAAATACTCGCCGGAAGTTTC